TATAGTCCAGTTAAACTTTCTATAGTCCAGGTGTACTTTCTATAGTCTAGGTAAACTTTCTATAGTCCAGGTAAACTTTCTATAGCCCAGGTGAACTTTCTATAATCCATGTGTACTTTCTATCGTCCATGTGTACTTTCTATAGTCCATGTGTACTTTCTATAGTCCAGGTGAACTTTCTATAGTCCAGGTGAACTTTCAATAGTCCAGGTGTACTTTCTATAGTCCAGGTAAACTTTCTATAGTCCATGTGCACTTTCTATAGTCCAAGTGAACTTTCTATAGTCCAGGTGTACTTTCTGTAGTCCAAGTGAACTTTCTATAGTCCAGATGTACTTTCTATAGTCTAGGTAAACTTTCTATAGTCCAGGTGAACTTTCTATAGTCCAGGTGAACTTTCTAAAATCCATGTGTACTTTCTATAGTTCAGGTGTACTTTCTATAGTCCAAGTGAACTTTCTATAGTCCAGGTGTACTTTCTATAGTCCAGGTGTACTTTCTATAGGAGAAAATAAAAAAACATGTTAAGATAGAAATAATTACAAATACAACCAGGAAGAGTAGAGCAAGTAAAGACAGTAGAGAGAGGAAATGTGGTCAGTGTGTCTTCCAGCAGTCTAAGCCTATAGCAGCAGAACTAAGAGATAGCCTAGGCCAACCCTAGCTATAGGATTTATAAAAAAGAAAGGCTAAAGCACACTCTTAAAACTGGATAATGTGTCAGCCTCACGGACAGAAACTGGAAGTTGGTTCCACAAAAGAGGAGCCTGATAACTGAAAGATCTTCCTCCTATACTGGTTTTGGAAACTCTAGGAACAACAAGTAAACCTGCCGTCTGAGAGTGAAGTGCTCTGTTAGGAAAAGGTGGAACAATAAGATCAGTAACTTAAGATGGAGCTAGGTTTTTGAGAGATTTGTAGGTTAGAAGTAAGATTTTGAATCCCATCCATCCATCCATCCATCCATCCATCCATCCATCCATCCATCCATCATCAGTTCTCAGGGGAAGCATCTTGAGCAGGGAGGTTCTGACATCTCTTTCCACAGCCATGTCTTTCAGCTCTTCTGAGAGGACTCCAAGGTGTTCCCAGGCCAACTGAGAGACATAGTCTCTCCAATGTGTCCTGGGTCTTCCCCGGGGTCTCCTCCCAGTCAGACATGCCCGAAGCACCTCCCTAGGGAGGCGTCTACATGCAGCCACACACCGAAATGAAAACCAGCATGTTTCCTATTTTTCCAGCTTATTGCGCTCACAACATGAGCTGATGAACGGATGTTTTTTCTAATTCTGATGTTTGGCTCCATGACAGGAGTCCAAAAAGGAAACTTCTTTAAAAACTTGTTTCTAACGGATCTGTCGCAGCCTATAACAGGTTAATTTAGTCTTCCTGATCCTTGTGATACAGGATCCTCAGGGCTTTATTTGAGCAGATCCTGCCGGAACAAGATCCGGGAACTCTTATTTTGACAGGGTGCGTTCCGGTAACTGTTTGCTTGGATCCAGTAACTCTCACGCCTAATAAAAGTAAATTATTAATATGAACTGACTTCAGTGGCGATTTTAGCCTCTATGTGGGGGTGCTCAAACACCTCTAAATTTTAACTCAGCACCTCTGAAAAAATAAAGAAACATCATCACAATATCGTAGGAAACAGTCTAAAACCTTAGATTCACCAATATGTTGAATAAATATGGAACAAAAGACAACCGTCTCAAACGGACCTGTAAAATCTATGTTTTTTTGCACAAGTCGTGCCACCTGTTAATCAGTCCAGTAGGCATGTCAGCGACTGACCAATCAGCAACCTCAGTTTGTCCTGAAGTGGACGCCCCTTACCTGCAGAGCTGCAGACGAACACTTCGCAGTTACATTATAGAGATTTCAATAAGAATTAAGTTTACATCTTTTGTTTCATGTTAATCTACTGTAATAAACTTTAGTAAAATACCAGAATGCAGGAAATGACATCTACTTTATTCAAACTCACTGGAGGACAATCGTGGGGCGACTGTGCTCAGCCTCAGACATGGGGTGAGAAGTTCCGTTGTCCGGGTTGAACCATTGTTTGTCAAAGGGAGTCGGTTGAGAAGGTTCAGGCATCTGATTAGGACCTCCTGTGAAAGTTCACCAGCTTGTCTCACTGGGAGGAGACTGCGGGTCAGACTGGAGGGATTATGGTTTGGCCTGGGAACTCATTGGGATTCCACCAAAAAAACTGGGTTTCCCTTCTGGACCTGTTGCCTCCATGACCCAACCAAAGATAAGTGGTAGAAGATGATGGATAAACGATAAGTTAAACTGAAATTATAAATTTGGTGGTTTAGCTAAAGTTTCTGAAAAAGCTGCATGCTGAAATGCTGAGCGCCGTCTGGTGCTCCACTTTTGATTCCTTGTTTAACTTCATCTTTCTCATCATCTTCTCTCACATTCTACGCGCGCCGTCGTCCGCCATATTTGTTTTCGTACAAAGAGTCTGGTGCAGGTCAGGCACAGGACTCTCATGTCCAGATATTTTCCTGCAGATTTAGCCACATGCTTCGTTTGTACTGAGTGCAGACCTTCTCATCAGATCTGGAAACCTTCTGGAGTGAACTCTGTCAAGCTGCACCATTTGAATCAGTTCAGAAAACTTTTTTTTTTTTTTTCATACTTTGCAATGAGTTCCTTTTTAATGTCAAAGCATAAAAACACAGGATGGTGAGCAGCCAGTTTGAGTGGAACTGAAGAATGATTTTTGTAATGGCTCATCTTGTTTTTCTGTGTATCCATCTCTTCACCAGTTGCCCTGACAGATGAGTGTGGGCTTATTTTGGTCTCTCAGCCTTCACATGTATGACCACAAGATATTCTGAATGACCCAATTAATGTGGTTAAATCAGGAAACCCTTCAGTGAAGGCAGTCATGATGCTTTCAGTACAGGTCTGGGTTCCCCCACATTATTTCTAGCTTCCTATTTCTCCTGCACCTTCACCACTCTGTGGCCTACAGGGGTCACACTGGGCCAGGTTGATTATTTGATTGTGCTGCAATCAGCATGAGGTCAGGACGTCCAGTCCTGCTTCAACATCTGGACAACCAAAGTCCTATCAGTTAACAACATGGCTAAGCCGCCACAACTTCCACCATGCTCCACCAGGACCATAACAATAAACCACTAAAATCTCACTGTGGTTTTGTACATGCTCAAAGCAAGTCTGGCTTGATTTTATGTAGCATCCATCCATCCATCCATCCATCCATCCATCCATCCATCCATCCATCCATCCATCCATCCATCCATCCATCCATCCATCCATCCATCCATCCATCCATCCATCCATCCAGCCAGCCAGCCAGCCAGCCAGCCAGCCAGCCAGCCAGCCAGCCAGCCAGCCAGCCAGCCAGCCAGCCAGCCAGCCAGCCAGCCAGCCAGCCAGCATCTTCTTGTTGTTCTGGACTCAGGTCTCAAGGGCAACATTTTGAACAGGGATGTCCAGACATCTCTCTCCATAGCCATCCCTTCCAGCTCTTCTGGGAGGACTCCAAGGTGTTCCCAGACCAACTAAGAGACATAGTCTATCCAGAGAGTCCTGGGTCTTCCTCGGGGTCTCCTCCCAGTTGGACATGCCCAAAGCACCTCCCTAAGGGGGCGCCCAGGAATCATACTTACCAGATGTCCAAACCACCTGAACTGGCTCCTCTCAATGTGGAGGAGCAGCAGTTCTAGTCCGAGTCCTCTAACCCTTTCTGTAAGGGAGAGTCCAGCTACCCTGCAAAGGAAACTAATTTCAAACTTCTGTATCCAAGATCTCATTCTTTCAGTCTCTACCCAGAGCTCATGACCATAGGTGAGGGAAGGAACGTAGACCGGCTGGTAAGCAGAGAGCTTTACCTTATAGCCCAGCTCCCTCTGCACTACAACGGATCCGTCTGTCAATCTCACGCTACATTCTTCCCTTACTTGTGAACAAAACCCTGAGATTCTTGAACTCCTTCACTTGAGGCAAAGCCTCACCCTCGCCCAATTTTATGTAATATGTTCTTTAAAAAATGTCACTGAGGACTTCTGACTGGCCTTGACAGGCCATCTTATCTCAACTCGCCTGGAAGTTTTGTAAACCTGAAGCTCTGCCCCTCCCTCCCCTCCTACCTAGGAATTTCCATGGACTTTTCAGAGGGGCCCAGCTGAATTAACATTCTGTCATCATTTCAGGACTCTTTGGATTAATTATTGTCATTCTTGGCTAAAGCCCCCCCTCCCAAGTGTGTACAGGATCTCTCCAAAGGGAACTATTGGAGTGATTTTCCATTGAGTGATTTTATCTGAACTCTGCAGTGCCTCTGTGTGCTGTCTCTGACTGCTCACTGTCCTTGCAACCCCCCACCCCCCACTCTGTGTAATGTCGGCATCATTATGTGCTTATGTGTGAGATTTTTTTCATTATCACGCTGTTGACCTTCAAACAAAGATTAAGAGCGTGTTAGGAATTTTTTCTTTTTTGTCTCCAAACCCTGTGTGTCATTTCTCACCACTTTTTATTGTCTGTCCAAACGGGTCTCACTTGTAAATCAGTCTTCGAGGCTCAATGTGCCTTATCTGTTTAAATAAAGGTTGAATTGAATTGAATTCTCTGAGACTCTGAAAACATAAAAACCATCTGTGATGTGGCTGGTTCTCCTTCAAGTCAAGATTGAAATTCAGATTTTTCAAAAGCATCCAAAACATACTTATTGAAGGAAGTTAAGAAATGACTGAAAATGGCTCAACTGGTGTTACCACTGCAGGTCTAGTGCCTGATTTTAGGTTTATTTGTTGCCTTTTATGAGTCTTTTAAAAACCAGTTCTTTACAAAAACAATCTATTGAGATGAAGTCTAATGAGGATTATACACATTAAAACTCCAAGAGCATTTAACTCAAACAACCCCTGCAGTTTCCCAGTTGATGACAGAATCAGAAATGTGATTTACCCTTCTCGTTTCTTGAAGACTTGCCTCCTGCTGCTGCTGCACACGACGACGAGGCAGTCAACTAGGACAAGGCGAAATCAGGTCGTCTCCGTCTGCAATAAAGAAACCACTAAAGTGTGCTCGTCCTGGAAGGGAAATGCTATTAATACCCCGCGTATCTCCCAAAGTCACCAAGTTATGGAAAAGTGGACCTCGTGCTTGCATTGGGCTGACATTGACACACTTTTGTTGCCCTTTTATTTCCTTTAAGAAAATTAGGCGCCTTTGAAAAATCAGGTTTGTTTTGATGGGTGGACTCAGGATTTCCCGTCTCCTCTCAAACCTTTCAGTCAAATTAATCACGAGATGACGAATAAATACATTTTTCTTTCAATTTATTTTTTGTGTGCTTTGCTTTCAGAGCCTTGGCGGACATTCTGAGGCAACAAGGGCCTGTTCCGATATCGCAGTACGAACATGAAGACATTGCAGCCATCGATGGGTCTCCCAAAGACGAGACGCCGGTCAGAACCTCAAAGAACCATTATACACCTGTCCACACAAAGGCATCCAACCATGGTAGGTGATGTTCTGAGTCATGACTGGGGATGAACTGGGCTCAGAGATCAGATGACTTTCTGCTTTTCTTCAGGACAATCCAAACAGTTGGACCGGCTGTGGCCAACATTTATGCTTTGGTTGATTTTTTTTTCTGCTCACTCAGCTTCATAAGTTTGACAGCTCTCTAGTTCTACCTCTGCAGTCTGAACGGACAAACCCAAATCTGAACCAGACGAGATTTTCAGCTCAATTTCTTGTTTTCATACTAAATGTAGCAGAAGGTCACATTAACTGCTCATGTAAAAATGAACTTTTTTCCCCAAGTTGTGCACCAGATCCAGATGTAAACACCTGGACATCGTTTGGCTCGTATTCATCTTTTGGTGTCAGATGGTTCCAGTTTACAGCAAAACTAAAGGGGTGGCCTCACTGTTCCAGATGAGGGGAGTGAAACGTGCCGAGTACAACGTGTTGCTGAATGTCGCAACAGTTATATATGTGAAGGGGACATGTCCCCCCCCCCCCCCACACACACACACACACATTTAAAAAATGTTCAACTCTACACCGCATGCAGTGTTTCCCCGAGGTCATCTGCCTTGGCAGGGTGCTCATGGGGGGAGGAGGGGGAGACACCATTGTTTTGCGTGCTAGCTTAGCACCACATTAGTGCTGACAGTTGTTGACGGTAATGGGGGGGGGGGGGGATAGGATGTGTGAGAGAAGCAGAGTGCTACGTCTGTAGCATCTTAACTAATGTGTCTGTATTGTGTGCTACTAGCGTACCGCTACATTAGTTCCAGCAGTTTTCAACGTGGGGGTAGGGGGGGGGGGGGTGAGAGAAACGGCATGTGCTCTTTTCACACATGGAGCGCTGTTGGTGTTGATTTATTTAATCAAGAGTTTACTTATGTAAGTAAAGGTAGAGGTTTAACAACCCGTAAAAATACACCAGAATGCAGGAAACGGCGTCTACTTTATTCAAAATGTTCTGGGAGAGGACCTCCAGCCCAACCCCCTCCCACACACACACATCAACGGTGGTGAAGAACATACTCAAACGCTGTACTTAAGTAAAAGTACAAATAAACAGACAAAAATGTACTCTAGTAAAAGTAGAAGTACGACATTAACAAAAAAGGAGCATTAGACACAACTAACAAAGGAACAGACTCTGATCATTTCAACTCCAGTTTGTCATCAACGCTAGTTAAAATACTGTCTAGTCAGCCTTGTAATGGGTCAATGATGAACAATATTTTAACTTCCTGACATAATTTTCAAAACTTGGACCCGATTGTCAAGTCATTTGGAGACATCTCTTGTCTCCTAACATCCATGAACTGACACATTTTAATATTGAGGCAATAATTTCTTGTTCAAGTTCAGAAGAAGTTGGTTTTCAAAGATATTTTTTTAGTCCAGTCTGTCTCTTTTGGAAGAGAGAATCTGTCCTGCTGTACTGAAGTCTTTCAATAGTCTTTCAATAATCTTTCAATAATAGTCTTTCAATAAGGCCATGCATGGGTGGAGCGTATCTTCTGGCTGACTCTCTGCGGTGGAATCCATTTTGGGTGTGTTAGCGGTGCTGTGGCTGTGCTCAGATCAATGACGCATGTGTCCCCCTCACATTACAAATGCTTCTGACGCCAGTGGCTGAACGGATCAGCATCTTTAATCGGCGCTGAACGTTGCTCATCCCTCAACAAACTTTCTCTAAAACGTCCCCTTTGAGTTCTCTCTGGTTTTGTGCGCTGAGCAAATCTAAAGTTTGTGTTTGTTCGAACAGCAGCAGGACGTCACGTCAGAGAGCCGGTTGGGAGTCGGTGGTGAGATGTGACTCACATTTCACACATCTCTGACAACAAACATTTATTTATTTATTTATTTTTAAGAAGAGCGGTGCAGCTTTTGATGCTTATGATTTTATTTTTATTCGTCTCTAAGATGCATTAGTGGCAGAAATGTGTCAGAAACTAAACTCCATTCATTTTTATTTGATTATAGATGGATCATCTGAGTCTTCAGTCGTGTTGACGACCTTAATGTATGTGTTGGACTTCTAGCTGGAAGGGGAAACAGTTTATAATTGTCTGTTGTGGCTGCAGACAGTCCGTCTCCTGCCGTGGACTTCAGTCTCCGTCAGCGTTCCCTGAGCGTTAATACTTTCATTTCCTGGAGTTCTGCTTCTGTTCTCTCGTTTTGTTCTAGGTTTCTGTGAAAAAAGGCGACAAATGTCTTCCACACTTTGCAGACAGAGAATGAAATGATCTCTGTCTGCAGGAACTGAGCTCGTGGAGCAACTTTGGGATGAAAATGTCAAACCCAATCGCACCGTGCAAAAGATTTAAAGCATTTGTCACTGTTCTTCTGATTTTCCTGGAATCTTCTGACATGTTTGAGCAACGGTTCTCTTGACTTTCTGTGGGTCTTTTGGTTTTCTTCAGACTTTAGCTGCTTTTTCTCTGCTTCAGTCGGTTCATTTGAACGTTTTCTGCTTAACTTTGACTCAAATTCTTTTAGAAAAATTAAAAACTTAAAGGATGAGTTGGGTCAACACACGTCAGAGAAGGTAACAAGGAGCCAATTTTAGGTGTCATATTTGTTACCATCAGCCTGTCACAAACCGTTTGTTCTTCAGTTGAAATGTCAGAAATAAGAGTTTGACAGAAAAAAAAACAGATTTAGCTTCAACAAGGTAATTCCTACAGAGCTGCTGGGAGTAGTGGTCCATCATCGTGTCGTGATCTGCAACTCAAACTCCAGGTTTGACTTGAATGCTCCCAGGTGTTTCTTCCTGGTCGTTTGGATTGCTGCTCCATCTCAAAGGTCTGAGGGACGTCTTTGACTGAAGAGCTTCCTCGGAGAAAGGCGGATCTGATGGACTTTATTTGGGTCATTTTTCTCTTTTTGTCAGTCGTTACATTCTTTAGTTAGAAAATCAAACGCCCCGCAGCAGTTCTGCATTTTAATCAAAATATTGTAGCACAAAGTGCAAAAAGAACTTCCTTTCTGCGGCGTGTTTTTATTCGACCGTCCAGTGATGTGAAACAATGTGACTGACAGAAAACATCAGATAATGTGCTGATTGCATTCATAAGCAATAAATATTGATGAGCTCATGATCCACCTGAGAGGGAGTTTCTGTTTTATTTCTGTTTGGTATTCTTCTCGACTGTGGCCGCTCTCGTTCTGAAACGTCTGAAATAAGTGTCTGCTTGCTTTAAACATATAAACACTCCAGATTTAAAACGTTTAGGGCAAATCAGTTAACTCCAAAAGGTGGATCTACGCTATGTTGCATGCTTCAATAGTTCTTAGTCTTTTCTTCATAAATTAAAAAAAAAAATATGGGGGGAAAAAGCGCAGAAATACAAGCAGTTTGAAAGAAATCTTTTAAACCTGTCAGGCGACAGAACTGTTGACATCTGAGATGAAGGAGTTTGGAGCCGCTGTAAATGTTGCGAGGCGTTCTGAAGACGCCCTCCTGGAACCCAAACTCTACCAATTCCCAGAGTCCATCACTCAAAGTGTGCAAGGCCTGGAGAAACAGACGCTTCTCGCCCAGGTGTTAACTCATATCTGTGATGTTTGCTCTAATTTCCATTCATAATTACTCACTAAATGTTGTTTCTTTGATGCAGTTTGTGGCGTAAATGTCACTAAATCCTAACAGGGTTTTCGAGAAACCGGAGCGTTTCTGCTGTGGTTCAGCCATTTGTGTCACAACAGACATCCTCGTTCTCTCTGAAACCCAAGGATCGTAAATCCTGATTTCAGCGTGGAGGTTTTCAGGGGACCCCCACTCTGAAACGTCACACATGCACACTACAGGCAGCTGCAGTTAAAAAGATTTCTGCACTAACAGCAGTTACAATAAATGGCAGAGAGCTGAGTGTTTTTTGTGCTGCTCACTTTTTTTTCAGCATGTAGGAGCAAACCAACAACATCCTGGGTCCAAAGGAATATTCATGTATTCGCCAGTGTAGATGTAACTGTGATCATGTAGATACTGCATGCAGCTGAGATGGCTGGCATGGAAACTACAGTAAATCCATGTGGAGGGCTCTTTAATGTTTATTTGCCCCAAGAAAGGTTGAAAAAACACTAAAGTTTCCAGAAGTCGTTCTCATGTGAACAGTAAGTTTTCACCTGTTGATGCATCCTGGCTGTTTTCTCCTGTTTATAATTGTTAGGACAGCAAAAACAAAGAAGTCAAAACGTTAATATTTGTGTCCCACCAGGTCATTACGGTAAAGACAACCTGCGAGTTGGAGGTCCAGACATGCACAACTTCATCTCCTCTGGCTTCGTTACGCTCGGACGTGGCCACTTGAAAGGTAGTCCGCCCTCGTTGAATGTTTCTGTCTTCAAAGTTCAGATTAACGATGACTTCACACGCGCAGCCACCGTGTCACGCTGTCGTCCTCTTCCTGCCAAATGACTGTGCTCAGGACTGTGCCGTTAAAAAGAAGGAGTTCCAGAAGGTGAATTTAGTTTCAGCTCAGTGGAAGTTGGACATCACAACTCCTAATGGCTTGAAGTGACATCTTGCAAAGTTCTTTATTTTCCTGTGATTGAGTCCACACGTCTGAAGACAAAGTAACACTTCCATACTCTGTAGGCAGCTGGTGTGAAGGCAGCACGAGTCTTCTGCTATTGTTCTCTTTCGTTTGAATGAATCAGAGGCAGAGTTGGACCAGGTCCTAAATTTGAGGCTTGTTGTGTTTTTACAGCGCAGCATTCCATCGACGAGTCGGGCCAAATGTCCTGGCAGGGGGACCTGGACATCCCCATGTCTTACGGTACGTCCTCCAAATGTTTCTGCTTTCTGCTCGCACACACGAAGTGATCAGCTGATCTCCAAAATGTTCCCTCTGCTGGAGACTTGGCTGCAGGTTTGAATGATGGTTTCTACAAAAACTTTAGAAATGTCACTTCCTGTGAAAATACAGCATGGACGCTTCCTGCTGAATGGTTTCTGCTGAAAGCTGCTGAAACGGTTTCATCACTAAACTGTAAAAGAGAGTTGAATTTGAACAGCTGATGTTTGCTGGAAGCAGAAAAATAAAAGCTGAAATCAGAAGAAAAACAGAAATCTGTAGAAAAGGCTGAATGGAGCCGAAATGAGCTGAATAATGTGGCTCAGTAATTTGCAAAATATCAGAAATTAGCTACAAAGAAACTTAAATGAGCAGAAAAAAGCTGAACTTAGCAAAAACAAGTAGCTGAAAAAGCTAAAAAGAAACACTGAAATTAGCAGCGAAAAGGAGCATAAAATGTTGACATTGTTCAAAAGAAGCAAAAAACGTAGAAATGAGCACAAATAACAAAGAAAAACCAGAAAAAAAAAGGAATTTATCTAAAAGAAGCTGAAGGAATGTGAAATTAGCACAAAGGTTCTAGAAAAAAACTGAAGCTGAAACGAGCAGTTAAAGGTTTTAAACAGATCAAAGAGGGAAGGAGGTGGAGAGAGCTCAATGAGAACAAACATGGCCGACAAAGCTAAATATTTCAAAATGTAAAAATTGCACAAACACCAAATGTCACAGCAGGAATGTTCTGAACGAGCCGAACGTTTTGATGCATGAATTGATGAAATGGCTGAAAACTTGTGGAACGAGTTACGAGCTGAAAACGGTATGAGAATGATTTAGAAACGTTCAAACAAGACGAACGTTAAAACATCTAAGAGGCAAAGCCAAACTCATTCAACTAGTTTGTGTTGGTAGAAATAATCTGATTAAATCTTCTTTATTTGACGTTTTGTGCTGCAGATCGAGGATATCGATGGTTAAAAGACCAGTTCAGGTGTTTTCAACTGACTTTATTAGTCTAACTTATAAATTATTCAAAATCAGCGTCAGCTTTATTGTCATTGCACCGAAGTGCAACAAAATTATATTTCAGTACAGCCTCTCCGAGAGAAACATAAACAAACAGACACGGAGAGATGGAGGTGACTGAGGCCGCCGACCTCGAGAGGCGCAGCACTTTTTTCAGATAAAGAAAAAGAAACACGAGGGGGAGTGGAGGTGTAAAAAAAATCAAATCTCACACTGTGTCCTAGACGGGACACAGTGTGAGAGTTGTAAAAGATGATTTGGCACATAAACAGCAACATGCTGATGACATCATAATACATTTCTGCATGAGGAGGCTGACAAGGGCAATGAATTGTCCGTGGACACTGCCAGAAAGTTCCATAGTCCTGATAAAGATGGCACAGTGTCTATCAGCCGGCTCAACTTTGACACAGATCTACATGTCCTCGGGAGGGGAGTGATGGGGGTGATGGGAGTAAACAACATAAACAACCAGGAGCTGGCAAATTCAAGGCCGAGTGGGGACGCCAAGTTCAGATAACACAATTATTTAGGGTCAGGCAGCCTCTGCTTGAATTTCCATGTCTGCCGTCATTGTTCTGCTGGTATGTCTCACTGGTGATTCCAAACAGCCAAATGTTGTGCTCACGCTGCTGGACCGAGCTTGTAGCATCTCTGAGGTCGATTCCTTCCCGCCAGTGAGTCCCAGGAGCCACAAGTGATCTGCGATTCTCAGAAATCGTGTCCAGCTTACGGCTCAGGTCATGCAGCGTCTGAGTCTGAGAGCTTACCGCTCAGTACATTCCTTCACTCAAGGCAGGCAGCCTCACATTTGCCAGAACCGCTGCCGCCGTCTTACGAATTTGTCGATGTGCCAGATACCCACAACTCCAAAAAGCAGAAATCCGGTTATCGTAAATCCAATTATGTACCCATTGAGTGTCCCTTCAGGGCATGAGGGCTCTCCTTCTCCCCGTCTTCTCGTCGAGAACAATTTATCAATTGTATGGAGAGACCAGCTGACCAGATCCATAATTTACAATTCAGAGGATGTGTAGTGAGAGACTTCGATAGGAATCACAAGACAAAGATCAAAGCAGGAGGGAGGAAGAGCGGGAGGGAAATGCATCTGTCCCCGTCGAGAGCAAACAGGAAATATATATATATATATAAATATCCTCCCTTTTATAAACGGCTTCTTGAACGATCTGTTTGGTGAAAATGAGTTTATTTCTGACTTTTTAATGTTACTAAAAATACTTTCTTTACAAACCAAGTTATTTATTTATTTTTTCAGTTCTTTTCTTTAGACGTTCAGCTCGTTCTGTCTTCTCTGGCCTTCATGAAGGCGTTAAAGGAGTTGGGTCTCATTCATAATGCTGTTGTGAGTTTTGTGATCCGTGTTGGTAAAAAATTTAACACAAGCCGCTTTAGGTGCAAATCCAGGTTTCCCTCCACCAAGCGGAGGAATTGGACCCATCCCAGACTTTGTGTTTTAGACGTTTCCTGCAGCAGCCGGTCCGTCCTGATTGGACCCGTCACTTCCTGCAGCTCTCAGCTGACATGTACCACCGCCCCGATTACAGAAGCTGTCTCTTCAAAGCGGAGGTCTTGTCTGCCTCGTCTGTCATTCATGTCTCGTTTAACATCGAGCTGTTGGCAGAACACCCCACCCCACCCCAACACCTTCTGGCAGGAGGAAGGAGGCTGACAGATGTGCACCGTGTCACTGAGGACCTCTGCTCCACATCTGTCCATGAAAACATCCTGAGACCACAGGGGTTGTCTGATCCAGACGGAGATCAGCTTCAGAAATCTGACTTCAGATTAAAAAGGATTCAGAAGTAGATTTATTAAAGAACGCTGCTGAACTTTCCAAGAAATAAATGTTTTGGAACTTGTGCAACATAAAATGTATCCAACAGTTATTGTTTCTTCTCCCTCCCGTGCTGTTTGATATTTTGTTCTGCTGTTCTTCACGTCTCTTAATGTTTTGCTGCACGTCTTCCATCCTTCATCTCTTCCTTCGTTCTCTTTTCTTTCCACATTAAGTTGATCTCCATCCTCCTTTCCTTTTTCTTTTCACAAATCTTTATGTCTTTCCTCCTCTCTCACTCGCGTTGTTTCCCTTTAGTCTCCTCCTTTTCTACCTCAGTTGTCCCTAAAGGAAGATGTAAATAATATTATTGTTCCCCGCTCCCCCGAGTGAAGAGGGGAACTGGACACCAGAACATGCCATCCATCCGATTGCTCCATAAGTTAACAAATAAGAGAGGTACCGACTCCCGCTGGTGCGTGTCTGCATCTGGGCGTAAGAAAATCACCATCAAAAATTAGGTTGCCACATCAAGATCACCAAACCCCCATGTAGACCGGCCGCTCCAATCATCTGTGGAAACTAAGCTTTGTGTTTTTATTTGACTGCAGATTTATCTCTGTCACGCTGCTGTGTGAGTTTGGTGAACGTCCCTCAGATGTGCACAAACATTCAGCTGCACTCGGGTCTCTCCGGTTGTTCTGCCGCCTGTGGGATCCACCCATGTGCATCTTGCCTAATTACTTTTTCATGACTTGCTCCTGTTTTTGTCCTGAGGGAGCTGCCCCCTCCCCAACAACAACCCCCGTCCCAATCCACTTAAGGTGACCTTGTGTTATTGGGACGCTCGGCTGCAGCTGTAATCCCCCCCGGCTTCTTGTGTTGAGTATGGAGGGGTGTCAGGGTGAGCCAGGAGGATATCACTCTCCTGCTTCACCTCCATTAATCCCAGTCGTGTGGGTCTTGGTCTGTGAGGCTGGTCTTTGTCGAGCAGACGGTAACTTTAAACTCTGAGGATGGCGGATCGATGGAGTCGCGTACGGTGAAGTCATCGGCTCGCTGAGCCTTTATGTTGGCCCACCTGACCGCGCTGCCTTGTATCGACTCAGTCATGAGGAGAGTCCGGCCGGTTCTGGGTCGAGTGGCTTCTCACTGAAATATCTTAGAGGTTCATGACTTTCTGTGGAAGAAGAAAACGATTCACACGAGGGAGAAGAACAGCGTCTTTAGGACGGAGCTAAAAACAGGACGTTTGTTTCAGTTATAAATATGATGAACAGTGTGTTTATATTACAAACAGAAACAACAACAATATGTTACCACAAACATCTGGTTTGATTAAAACAGACGGTTTAAGGTGTAGCATTGTTTAAAGGTCAAGGTCCAGGTTTCTTTATTGCCATTCACATCTCATGTGGTACATGTGGTGGAATGAAATTGTGTACACAGTGTCCCAGTTACATCCAACAAGAGTACAAAATGTAAAGAAAAACAGTAATAAGATCTGAAATATGAACTAAGAGCACACTAAGCTCTACCAGAACAAAAACAACACGCTGAAAAGCAGCTCGAACATGGGTCTGTGTGAGCAGATGAGTACGAATGAAAACAGCAGCATAAAATCAGGAAGGAGTGCACGTCATTTGGTCCTCAGTGTACGGGTTATGGATGAGTCTCAGCTACTACCACAACAAACTGTAGCTCAGCTTCTGTAAAATTAGCAGAGATGCAGCATTTTTTCTATTGTCTGAGTTCAGTGTGCTGTGGTGGCCACCTGGAAACAAGTCGGCAGCTAGCTGTAGATGTACAACCAGATGTACAACCAGATGTACAACCAGATGTACAACCAGATGTACAACCAGATGTACAACCAGCTGTACAACCAG